TATATATTATATGTGTGTGAAAACCTCACCACAAATGAAAATATAAAACCTCGAAAGTAAATCATGATTTCCCCAATGCCACCCCAAATGGTTCTAATAAAAACGAGAAGAAAGTACAAACACAAAATTCCCTTTGGTGTTTTTTTTTTTGTAAATTTTTAAAAATTAAATATACATATGTATGTACATACGTACATGTGTATTGACATGCATCAATTTTATATGATTTTACATGCATTTTCTCTTTATTTTATATCTTATTTTTATTTATTTATCACAAATTTATGCTTGAGAAAGGTTTCCTGTTGCAGGGTTAAATACGAATAATTTGGAACGAGAAAAACAAGCAAAAAGTGCCCCGAAGCGGTGTGATCACACCGGAAAATGACATGGTTCCGATGTGGTCACGCCATGAATTGAAGGGTTGTTGCTTGACCATGCCATCCTGGCCAGACTAGCGGCATGACCACACTGCAATCTGGTGTGACCACACCTCCCTTGCAGTTCTGCGGCGTGACCACGCTAGCAGTGGGTGTGACACGCCGACAAGCGGGAAAATACTTTAGGAATAAAATTTGATGACTCAAGCCGTGATTCTTGCTATAAAATTTATTCCTATGGCTCCTTGGAGGAGGATTTGCGCTAGAGAAGGCTCGGAGGCTGCTAAAAGCGGAGTTATGGAGAGAATTTGAGTGCTCTCTTAAGGGTTATCTTCCTCTTTTGGTGGAGACATAAAAGAGGAATTTTTTGTTCTTTGTAAGTTGTGAGAGCTTTATATGATAGGGAGAGTTGCTCTCATCAATGAGAGAAAAAGTTCTCGTAAGTCTTTCATATATTTGATGCTTGCATTGTATCTTTGCATAGTTTTTCTCGCTACGATTTCATCTATGATGTGTGGCAAAATTCCTCTTCATGTCTATAAGATGTAGGGGGTTGTGGATTTATCATAATTTTTTCATAATATTTTTGTTGCCATCAATTTTTGATATCACATGTGTGTGGTGTCCACTTGAGCGCATCAGGGTCGTGCTTTATGCAAATGAGTTACCCGTAGCTAAAGACATCTATTTGAGACCTTTTATCACGTGTTGAGGGACACACAGCCATGGTCATTTTATCAGACTTTGGCTCTTTCTTAGGCGAAGGCCAGTCGGCATGTCACTTTTAGAGTGACTTCAGTCGAACCGGAGGGCCTCATTCGTCGTGTTGCATCAGAAAGTGGCTCAAATTAGCCCGTCCACCATTGAGTCTATTCGAATGGCCACAGATGGCGAAACGGACCACGCGAGTGCGTCTGAGACATTAATTTTACTTAGGGAGGACGTCCATTTCGCTACAGCTTTGCGATCCGGCTAAAAATGTGTGAATAATTGTTTTTTGCCCGCTTACTGAAAAAATGTTCTGAACGACCCCAGATGACCAAACGGACCACACGAGCCCGTCCGAAACGTCAATTTTACCTAGGGAGACATTCATTATATTACGATGTAGTGTCAGAGCGAAAATTGCGCTAATGATGATAATAATAATAATAATAATAATAATAATAATAATAATAATAATAATAATAATAATATTATTATTATTATTATTATTATTATTATTATTATTATTATTATTATTATTATTATTACAAAAATAAAAAAGCCCTTATTTAAGCATTGCATGCGGCCTTCCTCTCTCCCAACGCCACATTTCGTGAACCCTAGCCTCCTTCATCGGCACCTTTGCCCGATAAATTGTCCTCGCGTCCTAAGCTCACCTCTAGTTCCTCCTCACTGACGAACAATGCCTTCAGATTTCCCTGCTCCAGCCGTCGGCGTCCTTGCTCCAACCACCAGCTCTTCTTCCTCTTTTTCCTTTCTTGGTTGATTGACTCTCTTCCATTCGTTGGCCTACCTTGTCGGCGTGACCCCTGACGCCGTCGGCCACCCGAAGTCCTTTGCCTCACCGAGACCTTCAGTCGTCGAGCCTCCTTCCCAGCAACTGACCACCTTTTTTTCTCTTCTCTCTCTTAGCCGACCACTATTTGGTCTCTCCTCCTCGCCAGCGACATCTGACCAGCTTACCTCTTTGCCAGCGTTGAGTTCACGATGAACTACCCTCCTTTGCACGTGTAGTCCAGAATTTCACATTCTTCTGTGTTTTCTCCACTCCCTGTGCGTGATACGCCTAAAAATGTACCATTTTTTATATTTTATTTTTTAATGATATTGCACTTTAAAGGTATGTTTTCTTGTGTTTTTTGTTGTAGGTACATCAAATTGAAGAATTGAGAGTAATTGAAGCAAAGGGAACAAAAATGGACCAAAACGGAGCAAACCGGAGCAAATCGAGTCGAACCGGGGCACACTGGAGCCAAGGGGACCTAAACTGGACACTTAAGTGCTTGTTCCCGGTGCTTAAACGCCCAAATATGGTGCTTAGGCGCCACCAAACAGAAAGGGGGGCGCTTAAGCGCCCAAAAACAGTGCTTAGGCGCCAAAGACGGTTTTCAACATATCTTCTAGAATATACGTCGGATTTGGACAATTTTTTAAGTTGTGCTTCGTGCATCTCTTAGTAAATTCATTGGAAATTATAAAATGGACTTTATATAAGAATTTGGGGATGTTATATGGAGTTTTGAAGAGGCACTTAAGGCACCATTTGGAAGATTCAATGAATATGGATAGTTTTGAAGAGACACTTAAAAATATCTTGGGAAATTATAATTAAGGCTTGGAAATGTTTTTAAAAAAAACCAT